CCCACGGTGTCCCCAAAGTGTCCCAAATGTCCCCAAGGTGTCCCCAAGGTCCCCACGGTGTCCCCAAAGTGTCCCAAATGTCCCCAAGGTGTCCCTACGGTGTCTCCACGGTGTTCCCAGGGTGTCCCCAAAGTGTCCCCAAGGTGTCCCCAAGGTGTCACCAATGTCCCCAATGTCCCCAAAGTGTCCCCAAGGTGTCCCCAAAGTGTCCCCAAGGTGTCCCAAAATGTCCCTAATGGGGGGAAAAGGGAAAATTCTGGGATTTTTTTGGGGGAAAAAGAGGGGATTTTGGCGGGGGGGGAGGTGACCTTTGTGTCCCCCAGGAGGGGACACCTGGATGGACACACGGGTGGACAGATGGACACGGGGATGGACGGATGGACACGGGGATGGACACAGGGATGGATGGATGGATGGACACAAAGATGGACACCTGGACACGGCGATGGACACAGGGATGGACACGGGAATGGACAGATGGACCCTTGGATGGACAGACGGACACCTGGACACTTGGATGGACAGATGGACACAGGGATGGACAGATGGACACCTGGACACTTGGATGGACAGATGGACACGGGGATGGACAGACAGACACCTGGATGGACACCTGGAAACATGGACACCTGGATGGACAGATGGACACGGGGATGGACAGATGGACACGGGGATGGACGGATGGACACGGGGATGGACAGATGGACACGGGGATGGACAAATGGCGCAGGGATGGACGGATGGATAGATGGACACGGGGATGGACAGATGGACATGGGGATGGGCAGATGGACACCTGGATGGACACCTGGAAACATGGACACCTGGATGGACAGATGGACACGGGGATGGACGGATGGACACAGGGACATGTGGATGGACAGATGGACATGGGGATGGACATGGGGATGGACGGATGGACATGGGGATGGACACAGGGATGGACACGGGGATGGACGGATGGACACCTGGACGGACACCTGGACACGGGGACAGACACCTGGATGGATGGATGGATGGATGGATGGATGGATGGATGGATGGATGGATGGATGAGTGGAGGACAAATGGACATCTGGACAATGGACACTTGGATGGACATATGGACACAGGGACACAGGGATGGACAGATGGACACAGGGATGGACAGATGGACATTGGGATGGACACATGGACACAGGGACACGTAGATGGACAGATGGACACAGGGGTGGACACCTGGATGGACACACAGGTGGACAGACGGACACTTGGATGGACAGATGGACACAGGGACATGGGGATGGGCAGATGGACAAGTGGATGGACAGATGGACACAAGGACGGACCCCTGGATGGACAGATGGACACAGGGATGGACACCCAGATGGACAGATGGACGTCTGGAAGATGGACACAGGGATGGACACAGGGACACCTGGCTGGACAAATGGACACAGGGATGGACAGATGGACACCTGGGAGGCTGGACAGACACGGACGGACACTCGGACAACTGGGCAGGCGGACAAGCGGACACCTGGGCAATCGAACACCAGGACAGACGGACACCTGGGCAGCTGGACAGCTGGACAAAAGGACAGCAGGACAAACACCCAGACAAACGGACACTGGGCCACCAGGACAAATGGACACCTGGACAAACGGACACCAGGACAAACAGACACTGGGACAAATGGACACCAGGACAAATGGACACCAGGACAAACAGACACCGGGACAAACGGACGAACAGACACCCGGACAGACGGACACCTGGACAAATGGACACCAGGACAAATGGACACCGGGACAAATGGACACCAGGACAAATGGACACCAGGATAGATGGACACCAGGACGAACACCCGGACAAATGGACAAACAGACACCAGGACAAACGGACACCGGGACAAATGGACACCGGGACAAACGGACACTGGGACAGATGGACACCGGGACAAACATACACTGGGACAAATGGACAAACAGACACCCGGACAGACGGACACCTGGACAAATGGACACCAGGACAAACGGACACTGGGACAAATGGACACCAGGACAAATGGACACCAGGACAAACACCCGGACAAACGGACAAACAGACACCAGGACAAACGGACACCGGGACAAATGGACACCAGGACAAATGGACACCGGGACAAACGGACACCAGGACAAACGGACACCGGGACAAATGGACACTGGGACAGATGGACACCGGGACAAACATACACTGGGACAAATGGACAAACAGACACCAGGACAAACAGACACCGGGACAAATGGACACTGGGACAAACGGACACTGGGACAAACGGACACTGGGACAAATGGACGAACAGACACCCGGACAGACGGACACCGGGACAAACGGACACCAGGACAAACGGACACCGGGACAAACGGACACTGGGACAAATGGACGAACAGACACCTGGACAGACGGACACCTGGACAAATGGACACCAGGACAAATGATGGACACCTGGACAAACGGACACCAGGATAGATGGACACCAGGACAGATGGACACCAGGACAAACACCCGGACAAATGGACAAACAGACACCAGGACAAATGGACACCAGGATAGATGGACACCAGGACAGATGGACACCAGGACAAATGGACACCAGGACAGATGGACACCAGGACAAATGGACACCGGGACAAATGGACACCGGGACAAATGGACACCAGGACAAATGGACACCAGGATAGATGGACACCAGGACAGATGGACACCAGGACAAATGGACACCGGGACAAATGGACACCAGGACAAATGGACACCAGGATAGATGGACACCAGGACAAACACCTGGACAAACGGACAAACAGACACCAGGACAAATGGACACCAGGACAGACGGACACCGGGACAAGCGGCGTCCCCGCCCTCAGGACGGACAGACCGACAGACGGACGGACGGACAGACCGCCCCCCCCACCTCCCCGTGCCCACCTGCACCGGGGGTTGCCCCCGGAGCGCCCCCAGGACGGCGGCGGCGGCGGCGGCGGCTCCGAGCGCGGCGGCGGCGAGAGCGGCGAGCGCGGCCAGCGCCGGGGCCGGGCGGCGGCACCGGCAGCGCGCCCGCGGCTGCTTCTGGTCCCGGTTCCGCTCCCGGGCCCGGTTCTGGTCCCGGTTCCGCTCCAAGTCCCGGTTCTGGTCCCGGTTCCGCTCCCAGTCCCGGTTCTGGTCCCGGTTCCGCTCCAAGTCCTGGTTCCGCTCCCAGTCCCGGTTCTGGTCCCGGTTCCGCTCCCAGTCCTGGTTCCGCTCCCAGTCCCGGTTCTGGTCCCAGTTCCGCTCCCAGTCCCGGTTCTGGTCCCGGTTCCGCTCCCAGTCCCGGTTCTGGTCCCGGTTCCTCTCCCGGTCCCGGTTCTGGTCCCAGTTCCGCTCCCAGTCCCGGTTTTGGTTTTGGTCCCAGTTCTTTTCCCGGTCCCGGTCCCGGTTCTGCTCCCAGTTCTGGTGCGGGTTCTGATTCCAGTTCTGGTGCCCGTTCTGGTCCCGGTTCCGGTCCCAATTCTGGTCCCGGTTCTGCTCCCAATTCTGGTGCCAGTTCTGGTCCCGGTCCCGATTCTTGTCCCGGTCCTGGTCACGGTCCTGGTCCCGGTTCTGCTCCCAATTCTGGTCCCGGTTTTGGTCCCGGTTCTGGTCCTGGCTCATGTCCCGGTTCCGGTCCCAGTTCTGGTTCTGGTGCCCGTTCTGGTCCCGGTTCTGGTCCCGGTTCTGGTCCCAATTCTGGTCCCGGTTCTGCTCCCAATTCTGGTGCCCGTTCTGGTCCCGGTCCCGATTCTTGTCCCGGTCCTGGTCACGGTCCTGGTCCCGGTTCTGCTCCCAGTTCTGGTCCCGGTTCTGCTCCCGGTTCTGGTGCCCGTTCTGCTCCCGGTTCTGGTGCCCGTTCTGGTCCCAGCTCGGGTCCCGGTCCCGGTTCTTGTCCCGGTCCCGGTTCGGGTCCCGGTCCCGGTCCGGGCAGAGGCACCGGCAGGGCCGCGGGGCCGCCGCGGGATTCTCGGGGTCGGCGAGCGGCGACATCGCGGCGACATCGGCGACAGCGGAGCGGGGCCGGCTTTTAACGGGACACGGGGAGGGGACCGGGGACAGCGGGGAGGGGACACGGTGACAGCGGTGACATCAGGGAAAGGACCGGGGACACGGGGACAGCGGGGAGGGGACACGGTGACATCAGGGAAAGGACCGGGGACAGCGGGGACACGGGGAGGGGACCGGGGACAGCGGGGAGGGGACACGGTGACATCAGGGAAAGGACCGGGGACACGGGGACAGCGGGGAGGGGACAGCGGTGACATCAGGGAAAGGACCGGGGACAGCGGGGAAAGGACCGGGGAGGGGACATGGGGACATCGGGGAGGGGACACGGGGAGGGGACACGGTGACATCAGGGAAAGGACCGGGGACACGGGGACAGCGGGGAGGGGACCGGGGACAGCGGGGAGGGGACACGGTGACATCAGGGAAAGGACCGGGGACATCAGGGAAAGGACCGGGGACACGGGGAGGGGACCGGGGACTGGAACATCGGGGAGGGGACACGAGAGGGGACAGCGACATCGGGGAGGGGACAGCGGGGAAAGGACCGGGATGGGGACATGGGGACAGCGGGGAGGGGACACGGTGACATCAGGGAAAGGACCGGGGACAGCGGGGAAAGGACCGGGGACACGGGGAGGGGACAGCGGGGAAAGGACCGGGATGGGGACATGGGGACAGCGGGGAGGGGACAGCGGTGACATCAGGGAAAGGACCGGGGACAGCGGGGATGGCGGGGAGGGGACACGGGGACAGCGGTGACATCAGGGAAAGGACCGGGGACAGCGGGGAAAGGACCGGGGAGGGGACATGGGGACATCAGGGAGGGGACATCGGGGAAAGGACAACGGGGAGGGGACACGGGAGGGGACGGCGACATCGGGGAGGGGACATCGGAGAAAGGACCGGGGACATCGGGGAGGGGACATCGGGAAGGGGACACGGGGAGGGGACACGGTGACATCAGGGAAAGGACCGGGGACACGGGGAGGGGACATCGGGAAGGGGACACGGTGACATCAGGGAAAGGACCGGGGACAACGGGGACAGCGGGAAGGGGACACGGTGACATCACGGAAGGGACAACGGGGAGGGGACAGCGGTGACATCGGGGAAATGACCGGGGACAGCGGGGAGGGGACCCAAATACCTCCAAAATAACCCATAAACCTCCCAAAATGGAACCCCCAAAAAAACCCAAAACCCCCCAAAATGGGACCCAAAAAACCCTAACCCCCCCCCAAAATGGGATCCCACAAAAATACCCCAAAATGGGACCCAAAAAACCCCAAAAACCCAGAATGGAACCCCAAAAAACTCCAAAACCCCAAAATGGGACCCAAAAAACTCCAAAATGGGACCCAAAAAAACCTCAAAAAACCCCAAAATGGGACCCCCAAAAAACCCCAAAACCGCCAAATGGGACCCAAAAAACCCCAAAATGGGACCCCAAAAAAAACCCCCAAAATCCCCAAAATGGGACCCCCAAAAAACCCCAAAATGGGACCCCCAAAAAAACCCCCAAAATCCCCAAAATGGGACCCCCAAAAAACCCCAAAATGGGACCCAAAAAACTCCAAAATGGGACCCAAAAAAACCTCAAAAAAACCCCAAAATGGGACCCACAAAAAACCCCAAAACCCCCAAATGGGACCCAAAAAACCCCAAAATGGGACCCACAAAAAAACCCCAAAAATCCCCAAAATGGGACCCCCAAAAAACCCCAAAATGGGACCCAAAAAACTCCAAAATGGGACCCAAAAAAACCTCAAAAAACCCCAAAAAGGGACCAAAAAAACCCTCAAAAAACCCCAAAATGGGACCCAAAAAAACCCAAAATGGGACCCAAAAAACCCCAAAACCCCCCAAAAATAGGGAGGGGACACCGGGGGGGTTGGGGACACTCCGGGGGTGGCACCGGGGTGGCGACAAGGTGACACCGGGGGCGGGGGGACACCGGGGAGGGATTTTGGGAATTTTGGGATTTTTGGGATTTTGGGGACCCTCCCGGCCGTGACGTCACGGATGGGAAGTGTCCCCAAGTGTCCCTCCCAAAAAAGGGAATCCCAAAAAAAGCACAAACCCGCCCCCAAAAAAAGAGACCGCAAAAAAAAACCCCAAAATCCCCAAAATGGGAACGGCAAAAAAAACCCAAAATGGGACCCCCCCAAAAGAACCCCAATGAGACCCCAAAAAACCCAAACCCCACAGAATGGGACACCCAAAAACAAAAAAAAAAACCAAAATGGGACCCCCAAAATATCCAAAATGGGACCCCAAAAACCCCAAACCCCACAAAATGGGACCTCCCCAAAAAGGACCTAAAAAATCCCAAAATTCCCAAAATGGGACCCCCAAAAAAATCCAAAATAAGACCCCAAAAAACCCCAAAATGGGACCCAAAAAAACCCCAAAGCCCCCCCAAAAAAACACCAAATCCCCTAAAATGGGACCCCCAAAGAAACCAAAATCCCCAAGAAGGGACCCCCCCAAAATCCCAAAATGGGCCCCCAAAAAAACCCAAATCCCCCAAAATGAGAACCCCCAAATACTCCCAAGCCCCCCAAAAATGGGAACCCAAAAAAACCCAAAATTGGGACCCCCAAAACTCCAAAATCCCCCCAAAAATGGACCTCAAAATTCCCAAAAATGGGACCCCAAAAATCCCCACAAAAATGGGACCCCAAAAAACCCCAAAACCTCCAAAAATGGGACCCCAAAAGATGGACCTCAAAAAACTCCAAAATCCCCCCAAAAAACCCCAAAATCCCCCAAAAATGGACCCCAAAGCCCCCCAAAATGGAACCCCAAAAAATGGACCCCAAAAAACCCCAAAATCCCCCCAAAAATGGACCCCCAAAACCCCCAAAATCTCCCCAAAAATGGACCCAAAAAACCCCCAAAATCTCCCCAAAAAGGACCCAAAACCCCCAAAAATGGCACCCCTAAAAA